TGGAACGAAACACTTTTTGACATTGTGCTTTATAGAGTAAACAGAGTTTCCATATACCGGGACATTGGCACTAATTTCGGCATTTTTTATTTTTCATGACTTGGTTCGGTATAGCAGTGAGCCCTCCAATTGGAAGACAACAAATCCCCGTTATTTGCCTTGCCATGGCATGAAAGTGCACAAGCAACAACAACAACAACGAACTCAAGAAAAAGGTCGTTGCGTTATATGTCAAGGTGGAAGGAAGCAGCAACCTCAGGAGTAGAGTCGGAGGATGAGTTGGTGGCAAGACCGTGGTTGGAGTTTTCTGATTTTCCGCACAGTCATGCCCTGTCTGCTGCCATCCTATCCCCCCGCCCACATTCTGCAAGTTCAAGCACTTTTTTTTCGGGGAGATTTCTTCAAAGAAGACAACAAACGTGATGACATAGACGTCTGTCTGGTGACCTTCAACTTTTCCACCATAATAAATTTCTAAGTATGTGTGTGTGTATGTGAGCATGGAGCCCAAGGATGTATACGAAAGTATATAGTCCCACGATTGTATATATACCACATATACACAGGAATTCTAGAATGAACCGCACATTAAGTACACTTACACACACACAAGTGGAAATCTCTCAATCAGGCCATTTGTTTTTTTTTTCTGCTGCTGCTGAATGCCAGACTTTCTTTGTTCCACACACAAACACACACACACAGACAGCCAGCCAAGCTCATCGTCCTTGACGATGTTAAATTTGGTAGAAGGACAATGAATATTTTTTTTTTTTTGTTTCACAAGGTCTTTATCCTGTGGGTGTAGTGGTTGGTGGCTGGGAGAGAAGCATTAACTTTGGCATTTGACGAAAATATTCTGGTTGCTTTGGTAACCGACCGACCCAAGAGCCATTCCAAAAAGGACAAAGAAGGAGAAAAGAAAAGCCTGAATGTAGTTCAGGTCAAATGAAACAAGAAAATAACAGCGCTAACTAGACCAAAGATGGCGCCCGAATGACAAAGAAGTAAGAAAGCTTTATCAAAGCTTTTAAAATAAAAGTATTTAGTTTATGGCGCCATCTGTTGGATTATGGTGATACTAAATTAATAAATATGGTGGTATATTGTTTGGGATAGTTGGCAATGCTGATAAATACAAATTATATTTCAACACGCCTATATTCAACATCCTCGATAGTATAGTGGTTAGTATCCCCGCCTGTCACGCGGGAGACCGGGGTTCAATTCCCCGTCGGGGAGATATGAAAATATTTTTTTCGCTTTTTTAACAACTTTTAGTTATGTTTCGCGTAACGTTATAAGTTGACTGAAATATTTTTAATTTATTTGTAATTAATGTTAATTATTATTAATTCATCCTCGATAGTATAGTGGTTATTAGCCCCATCAAAAATATTATATTAGCATTCGATTTCAATCTATAAACACTCAAAATAGGATTTTTAAGAATCAATATACTTTTTATATCCTCCACCATAGTATGGAGGGTATATTAGGTTAGTCATTGTGTTGTTAACACCACGAAATATACATTTTATATTCTTTATCAGCATTAAATGCTGTGTCCGTCCGCCTACCTGTCTGTGGAAATCACTCTACCTTCCGAACGAAATGTATAGGTTAATAAAACTTTTACTTTTGGTATTGAAAATGGGCCATTTAGGTCTAGCCCCCATATTGGTGATTTAAGCGAAACAAATTTGGCATTAGAAGTTCGTAACGGATACTACAACCTACGACAGAACAAGTAAAAAACATTAAGTTCGACCGGATCGAACTTTTAATACCCTCCACCTTAGGGTAAAGGAAACATTAGAACCCATTGTGACCCACAAATACCTATTTTTGACATATTCGTGGGAAATTGTGGCAAAAATTATGAAAATATCGAATATCGGGAGGTACCGCTATATGGGGCTAGACAAAAACGTGAACTATACATACAATATTTCGCCACACGAACTGGGACCCATTATGGCCTACAAATACCAATTTTCCGACAAATCCGCGAAGAAATGTGGCAAAAATCATCAAAATACCGAATATCGGGAGGTAACGTTATATAGGGACTATACCAAAACATGGACCGATATATATTCATTTTCAATACCAACCATCCTAGACACAATACAAATTGATCTGCTAAATTTTGACTCTCTACGTCAAATAATGTGGGCTGTATCGTGATTTCAACAGACAGACAGACGGACATCGTTACATCGACTTAGAATTTTATGCTGATTATGAATATATATACTTTATCGGGTCTACGACGAATATTTAGGGATGTTACAAACGGAATGACAAAGTTAATATACCTCCTTTCCAAGGTGAAGGGTATAAATATGTCCGTACAGATCCCCGCCTTCGTATAGCCCCCCTATAACGGCACCTCGGATATTTGGTACTATGGTGATTTTAGTGGCATTATTCACCGGAAATGTTTCAAATTTGGTATTTAAAGTTCGTAATGGATACTACAGCCTAAGACAAAAATTTGTCTGTGCATGTCCACATCTTCGTATAGCCCCCATATAATAGTACCTCCCTATATTTGGTATTTTGATGATGTTAGCTACATTATTCATCGATTTTTGTTTCAAGTTTCGCATTTGAATATTGTAATGCCTTATAACAAAATATGCCTATGCAGGTCCACGTCGTCGTATAAACACTAATATAACGGCTATATTTGGTATTTTTAAGGTTTTAACAGGGTATTCAAAGTTCGGCCCGGCCGAACTTACAGCTTTTTCCCTTTTTTTAATAGTTATGTAAAGTTTTAAAATCTCTACAAATATTTTTGCATTTTTCTGAAGTTTGTTAATATCCTCGATAGTATAGGAGTTAGTAGCCCTGCCTTTTGCAGGATTTTCGTATTTGATTTCAATTTATTACGGTTTATCAATATTATAATTATTCATATTTACAAAGAGTTTATAGTTTTGTAATGCATCATTATTAATATATATTTTGATATTTCTCAAAATCATTCAATATCCTCGATAGTATAGTGATAAGTAGACCCTGTGATGTAGAGATGTATGATTATGGAATTTAATCTGAATTCAAATTTTGGATTTTTCCATAGCTTTTTTCCTCGATAGTATAGTGGCTAGTATTGTCTTGTCTTTGTCCTTGTCTTTTGCAGGATTTTTATATTTGATTTCAAAATTCCACTTTAACGGCAAATAAATGAGCCGGAGTTTGAGTTACGTTGTATCTGTTTTTGTCAATGTTAGAATATATATCTTATTATATATAGAATTTATGGTTTCGGAATGCATTATTCACATATATATTTTTATTCTCCCAAAATGAGTCCATATCCTCGATAGTATAGTGTTTAGTAGCCCCGTCTTTGACACGATTTTCATTTTCGATTTAACCCCAAATTTTTCTATAACAAAATATTATTAGCTTGGGGCTTTAAAGAAACCTTTTTTTTCATAGAATTTTGTAGAAATTTATAATTATGGAAGACAATCTGTATAGCAAAAATGTTCCCATAGATTTTTCCTCGATATTACAGTGGCTAGTAGCCTTGCTTTTCACAATATCTTCTTTATCGATTTCAAATCTTAAGCACTAAAAATCTCACTTTAAAAACAAATTATTTAGCTGCGGCTTATAACAAACGTCTTTTTTTCATGATAATGATGAAGAGAACTATAATTCCAAAATTATAGATAGATATATAATTTTGCATAGGTTTATAATTCTACAAGACAATCTCCATTTATATTTTGTATTTTCCCACATTCCTTCAACATCCTCGATAGTATAGTGGTTAGTATCCCCGCCTGTCACGCGGGAGACCGGGGTTCAATTCCCCGTCGGGGAGATCTACAATTTTTTTGTTGATCCAATGGACGGATTTTTTAAAAGTATGGACGCACGTTATGGTCCATTTTGCTTTGAAGGTAGGAGTTTTTGGTTTCCTTCACTCTTAAAAATTGCATGAAATTGTGTGCAGGAATATTCAAAAGGCATATAAATGCGATCTTTGTAACCAAATAAGAAAACATAAATTTTTCCGATGCAGATATGCTTAGATGGATGAAGCTAAAGATATATTACTTTATATGTTAACTTGTTCCTATTTTTTAAGCTTGCCTGACTAAAACCTCTATCAGAATTCAACAAAAAATCCTAATTATGATTTAAGCAATTTAATAAATAAATTATATAAATGTTGCAAATATATGTCAGGAAAAACTGGAGAAGAATGTAATCTTATTGATGCAAACAAGGATTACAATTTATTCTATAAAATTGTACCTGAAAAGCCTTCAGAAAATTATTTTCAAGCGTCCAAAGCTTTAAAAATTATTGGAATTATTTAGAGGTTAAATGATTTGTTAAATTAATATTAGTAAACAAAAAAATGTTTATATTATAATTAGATTTTGTTCAAAGTTTGGACATTGTGCAGAATACTTTGCACATACGCTTGAATGCAGTCGAGGACCCGTTCAAATCTGGCAATTAAAAATAAATATTCTAAAATTACATATTTCCCAGCCGCCATAAAATATCACATGTGTAAAATTCAGTGTGCGCTGTTTCATACTATAATGTATAAGATAATAAAGGTTCTGATCCACACACACAGATATCGATGCGTTATATAGGTACCCAAGCCCACTTGAATGATGGAACGACAAGCTGCCCTTCAATGTTCTCCATTCAATATTAGAATATAAGACAATAATTGTGTGACTGCGATTAGGTTAAGTTAGTTTAATTTTTGGTGTGCATAAGAAAAATATTTTTAAATAAAATCAGAATTGAATCTACATTCGAGCCAAACGGTTGTGGTTTTCTGGAAGAACGAGTCTCACAATCTTCAAGAAGCTCCAGTAAAGTTTTTCCTTTAAGAAAAATGTGTGATTATTCCTTTAACCTGAGGTCCATTCCTATATCTCTTAATTTTCTGAATATTTCACCCACAACTTATATTCATTTAAAAGTTAATTTGCAGATTTTCCACCTACCTTGTTTCCCATTTGGTGAAAACGGGTCATAACTACCCGCCGACATGGGCGATGAGTATCCATTCGATAAATTTGCGCCATAAATGTGATTTTGAGAGGCTGAAGATGGACTTAAAGGTGCAGTGCTGGGCACACTGCCGGGACTAGGTGTGGAAATCCATTCTTCCCTTCTGCAAAGAAACAACCAATGAAACCATGGAATTCGAGAAAATTGAGGGCCCAAAACTTACAATTCCAAACGGGCTCGTTTTGAGGGCAGAAAAACCGCTGAACTGCCATTGGAAGGATCTGCAGAGCCACCAGCAGCTGCCGCCACATTACTTGTTGAACTACCACCAGCAACGCTTGGTGCGGTCGTTATGGTAACTTGTGTAGATCCCGCCACTGTGCTGGCATTGACAGCAGCAATACCCGTTGCCGTTTTCAATGCCAAAGTTCCCGATTTGAGTGCTGCTGCTGTTGAGGGGGCAATGTTTGCCAGGGCCGAACAGGCCGCCAGACTTATGAACTCTTCCTTGCAATCGCTGCTGAGATTGGCGACCTGGCTGTGATTGCTACTGCTGCCCGCCGCCGCCAATGCTGCTGCAGTTGTTGTTGCGCTGGAAATGTCATGTAGGGGTTCCGATTTAATGGCAGTCTTTAATAGCTTGATTTTCTCTTCGACGGAAGCACTGGCGAGCGAGTCTACCGAACTAATGACAATATTGCTTACATTGTTGTTTAGCTGGCGTGTGGCGGCAGCGGCTGCGGCGACAGCATGCTGCTGTTGGATGTGTATCAAATTGCGAACTGGGTTGGAGTTACCGGCTTCCGCCGTTGCATCCAGCGTTGATGCAGCGCCACCAGCAAAATTGGCTATGAAAACATTGGCAGCATCCCCTCCTGCAGCAGCGGCAGCATTGCTGGCTGCCACAGCAGCTGAACTGGCGGCAGCATCCAGTTGTTGTTGCAACAGAATATGACTGGGTATGACTTGCTGCTGCTGCTGTTGTTGTTGTGGCGTTGATGATTGTTGTTGTTGCTGCTGCTGTTGTTGTTCGCTGGGCGGCAACGACAGCTTTTGTCCTTGCGCATGATTTAGCCGGTACATCATTGAGGACAAATTCATCCTAAACTTTGTGGTGACCCGTAAATCTTGTTCTAGCTGTTGTTGTTGTTGCGTTTGGCGACATTTAAAAAAGTGTGGCAGGGAAAATAAATATTTTTTGCTTCGATTTACATTTTTCGCTCAAACGGTGCCGCATCCAGGGGCACCGTTTCTCCTCGGCCAATCCCCCCGCGTGTTGGCCTTGGGCAGCAGGGTGTTTGGTTCTGTACCACGATGATTCGGTTTGGGTCTTGGTAAAGAAATACCAAAAATATTTACAATTTGTCCAGAAGAGCAGCTGCAAAAGAAGAGATGAAAAAAAAGAAACACAAATTAGCAATGAAAAGCAAAGCAATGGAATGTTCAAATGTTTGCTCGCTCGTGACCCGACCCTCTATAGGCTCAGTGCCCCTGCCCGCTCAGCTTTGGTGGCGGGCATTTCTAAGAATTCTAATGTTTTGTTTTATGACTGCCAGTCACCTTTCAATAATCTCAGGGTTTCAAGCACCCCTCCCCCCAGGCCATGGCTTTTGTTGGTCAGTAGCTGAATGTATTTTTTTTCTCTCTTTCTCGTTAGCTTGTCGTCTATACTACACTTGAGCATGCATTGACCTAGTTTTTTGGCTTTTTTCAGGGTATCAAGGGTTGAATGCCGTCGTCGTCATCACCATCGTCATGTCATGTTGAGAACACAAAGTATTCGTGGTCACATGCCTGGTGAACAGAGAAAAAACAACAAAAACGCTTTCACATAATATGACCCATTCGCAGGGTGGTAATGAGTCAAGGATGTTAGAGGTTGAAAATGTTGAAAATAAAAAAAACACCACAACAGGTCTTAAATTATTTACGAGAAATTTAAAGCACCGTTTTTTTTTTTCATTTTCACTTGTAATAAATACATTTCTAATGGAATGTTCGTAACAAACTATTTCACCTAGGTATGTGGTTTGTTCTGAGATTCATAGTGAAATTTTGTGTAGAACATTTCTTCTTTTGATAACTTCAGCCTAAAATGAAATTTAATGTCACTTTCATGCATAAACTCGAAAAAAGTCCGAGAAAAAAATTATCGAAAAAATTCGGATTTTTTTGACTACATTGATGCATATATTTTCTTGATATTAAATGGAAATAGAGATTACTTTTCTTTGGAGACTTATAGTGAAATTTGATCAAGAACATTTTTGCCTTTGACACTTTGTCCCAAAAACTAAGTATTATCGTCAATTTAGACTCAGATTTAAAACGCCATACAAATAACAGTTAAAAACGTAATCATGTAACGCACATTTGAAATATATAAATTCAAATGTAATTTTCGTACAAAACCATTAAAGCTAGGTATATAATTTATAGCGGGACTTATAGTGAAATTTTGTATAGAATATTTCTTCTCTTGACACTTTTTGCCTAAAACGAAATCTTATGGTACTTTCATGCGATAAATCGAAAAAAGTCGGTGCAAAAATTAATAAAAAAATTAGAAAATATTTTGACGTAGTTTGGCAACATTTAGGCAAATATTTTCTGAATATAAAATCAAAATTCTGTTTTCTTTTCCTTGAATACCTATAGTAAAATTTGATGAAGAATATTTTTGTCTTTAACGTGAACCTTCCAAAATCATGCTTTGTATGAGGATTTGGCATAAACTCACATGGAGTATGGATTTAACCCTAAATTGTGTTTTTTTTTTGCATTTATAAATTTCAGGCGTTTAGTGAAGATTTAGAGTTTTGATATCTTTGGGACCTATTGTAGAATTTTATGACAAATAATTTTATAGAATTGTTTCGACTTCCTAGATCCCGTTTAAAGGGAGATTTTAATAATATTCTGAAAAAAAATTAAATTCGATTCGATTTGGGATTGAAATTTTCAACCAAAATAATGCTTGTATTGTTATCAGTAATATTGCCGGAGACTCTATATATCTAAAATTCGAGGAATCTTTATTCGAAAAATTTTAAAAAAGTGGAGAATTACCACCTTTCCTCTTCTATTTTGGTAACTTTCCAAGGTAAACTTTTAAAACGCCGAGGCAAGTGTCTTCTGTGTTTAGCTCTACTTTCGTAATCTTCTGAGTTTTCCTGTAATTCAATATACCCTTCTTCCATTATGTGATGAAGGGTAAACAATTTGAAAACTTTGACCCGATTTTGACATTGATTCTTTGGGGGTTTTTTTAATATTTGATTTTTAACTGGGTTTCTGTAATTTGATTAGAGTTCGGTGTTTTAAGTACTTTTTTAAATATCTTGAAAAACCTAACCCTAAAATTTTGAAATTACATGGCCTCCGTGGCGCAATTGGCTAGCGCGTTCGGCTGTTAACCGAAAGGTTGGTGGTTCGAGCCCACCCGGGGGCGCAATTATTTTTCCTCTTCTTTTTGGTTGTAAGAAATGAAAGCGAAAAGAGAGTGGTTTTAGGTTCTACATCAGATAAGGGTTGATCGCTACAATACCAACTATCATATTTTTGCGTTCCCAGCTCCTTTTTATGGGATAGACAAAAGTATCGAATATCGATGAATTCAAAAAATATTCGCAATTTCCATGAAAAAGCGATACAAAAAGGTGGAAGAGAGGAAAAAGAAGGACTTGGTCCTTCGATCTTTACAAAAATCAGTACTGTACACTCTTTGGGATATGAAGTGACCTGGTTTTGCGTTCCGATTGCAGTTATTGGTTCTTTTTTGGCTATTATTTCATGTTCAATATTATGTTAATTTCATACATTTTTTAAAAATCGAAGGACCAAATGTCAATTCTTGTCCTTTTTGTGAGGAAATTATAAATATTTTGCATTATTTCCATATTCCACATAAAATTTTCTCGTCTCAGGGATACAATTTCTTTCAAAAGAACGGTACTGTACAGTCTTTAGTATTAATTAAGTATTTAGTATTAAAGTGACCTAAAACGAAGATGGGTTTTGATTGGGCGCCATATCGCCTCCGTGGCGCAATTGGCTAGCGCGTTCGGCTGTTAACCGAAAGGTTGGTGGTTCGAGCCCACCCGGGGGCGTCTTAATTTTTTTTATTGAACTCGAACATTGAAATAGTTTTCCCCAGTTGGGCTATAGATAGACTTCAAAATATGTTTTACATTAATTGAATATGAATTTCATCAAAGATGGAATTTTTCACAATTGGTCCTCGTCTAGCCACTAAAATGACTCCTAATAAGCCGGCTCGATGCGTGGACTTTGATAGATTCAATTTTCGGTGTCATCTCCTTAGGTCATCAATAGCTCAACTTGAAAGGGAAATTATCAAATATCCATTTACCAAATACCTCTGCCCTAGGTCAACAATCTCAAGTCATTTATTCTATTCACTATTTTTAATATTCAGAAATTTTTCAATGATTGTGTTGAAGGGACATACTCAGTCTTCCTATTACGCTAAATATCACAATCGTGGTTTCTATGGCGGACAGTTTTCGAAAAGTAGAATATACAAAATTACATCTGAGATATATTAGTTTTTGCATCGTTTTTAAAATTCCGGTCTTCACATGGCCTCCGTGGCGCAATTGGCTAGCGCGTTCGGCTGTTAACCGAAAGGTTGGTGGTTCGAGCCCACCCGGGGGCGATTATTTTTGATTTTACATTTGTAAGTTTTTATAGGAATTCATGGCAAAGTCCTCGGTAAATACTAAGGGCTTCCTCTGATTTTTAAATTTGCCATTTTTTAGGAATTCATGGCAAAACCCATGGTTAATACTAGGGGGAGATTTTGATATATTTAGTCAGGAATAAATATATGTCCAACATATATCAATATACTCTTAATATCCATTAGTGGTTTGTGTCTTTTCACCGTTTGTGGGAAAAAACGGCAAACATGATATTATTTCCAGGGGCGTAAGCAGTGGATGTTCTGCTAAATGGCCATTATTCTGACTTGTACATTTTACATGGAAAAGTTAGTTTGTTTGCCAGTTAGGTTCCGAAGACATTTCTGCGTACATCACTTATGGCACTGACTACCCTTTCTATGGTTTTCCCATTTACATACACTAGAATAGATTTCTGGAGGTTCCTATACGTCTCAATATAATTTTCTTAAAATTTCACAACCCAATGAAGCTTTTCACAAATTTTCTTAAAGCCTCTCTCTTTGAAAAAAAGATTTTGCGCCCCCGGGTGGGCTCGAACCACCAACCTTTCGGTTAACAGCCGAACGCGCTAGCCAATTGCGCCACGGAGGCCATGTGTTGCCGTTGCAAAGATGTACTCATTCAATTTAATCACATTTTCCTACAATGTCTGTACAGTACCGTTTTTCTGTAACGTCGAAGGACCATCCGATTAACTTGTAAGAGATTTTGAGCAATTTCATATATTTTTGTATTTTTGATAGACAATTGCGCCACGGAGGTTATCTGATGCCATTACAAACTCGTCTTCATTCAGTGGCCATCTTATTTTCTTAAATTACATGTACAGTACAGTTTTTCTGTGAGGTCGAAGGACCATCAGATTAATTTGTAAGAGATTTTGAGCAGATTTCATATATTTTTGTATTTTTGATAGCAAATTGCGCCACGGAGGCCATGTGTTGCCGTTGCAAAGTGGTCTTCATTCAATGGTTTCATTTTCCCCAAAATATCTGTACAGTACCGTTTTTTTGTGAGATCGGAGGACCATCAAAATAAGTTGTTAGAGATTTTAAACAAATGTCCGATTCTTGCCTATTTTTTGATAGTTGAATGAGCTATCCAATTGGGAAACAGAGGCCGGCCATGTGTTACCGCCACAAATTCGTTTTCGATTCGATGTTAATGTAATTTTCTCAAAATATGTGTACAGTACTGTTGGTTTCTGTAGTCGCAGGACCACCAGAACAATTTGTAAAAGAGTTTGAACAAATATCAGATTCGTGCGTATTTTTGATACTCGGAAGAAGCTAATCAATGATATAATACTGCTGAAACCACCCGTCATTGTTCCATAATACATTGTGTACATAAAATATCTGCACAGTGCAAATTTTCTGGTTTTCGAAGGTTACAAATTTTGATCGTTCAGCTTTCGAACATTAAAAGGAAATAATATTTGGTTGTTTTTTATTTCGCCAATTTTCCTATATGACAAATATCCTCAGGGATATAATTTTGTAGGAAATCGTCCTATCTGGTTTAATGCTTCAAAATATCAAACTTTAAATTTAAGATATTGCTGGTAGTCATTGTTGTTGTTATTTATCTTATATTAAATATAAGTTAAATATCAATATATAAATGAGATATTGCAGATTTCAACAGTCAATTGCGAAACAAAGACTATTGA